GACCAGCTAAATGAGTCAAGGAATAATCGTCTGCCAGAGCAGCTGCCTCTGCCACAGTCTTAACATTACGTTCACCAATATAAGCTGAAATAGCATCAGACACAGAATTTTTGAACTGCTCCAAAATTATCAATTCTCGAAGCTCTTCAAACGTTTTCACACCCGCCGAGGAACACCAGCTATCAAAATGAGTCCTTAAATCCCACATAAATTCTAAATGAGACTTTTCTCCATGCTTCCAACCACGAAAACGCTGTCTATACGCCTCAGGCACAAGTTCAAATGCTTTCAAAACTGCAGACTTAACCGTATTGTAATTTNTCATTGAACTTTGGAACCAATCTCAAGTCAGCAAAATCATCTGATCTTGTTCCATGATGCAAACCTAGAGAATACTGCTTATCAGCTTCTAGTTTACCCTCTCCAATAAGCTGAAGTTTATGCTTCTCCAGCTCAAGTTTAGCCAGCTCCAAATCCTGACGTCTTTGTTCCGTTTCCTGACGCATTTTCTGACTTTCCTGTTCAGCTTTATATTTTAACAAAAGTAATTCTTTCTGTTGCTCAAAAGACAAAGCAGTCGCATTTAATACTGACGAATCTACCGACACACATGGCTTATCACCACCAGGCTTTAATACACCAGCCTCAAACAATTCAAGCTTCAATTGACCCTTAACAAGCTCTTTAAGTTTCTGTGTATTACCCAAATCAATTTTATAATGCTCTGCGATCATTATAAGCTGTTTTTTTGTACACATGTTCAAACCACTTTCACTTGGTGACTCAAGAAAATCCTCCACAATTCCATCCATGGCTACAACTTACAAAAACAAAGTAATATAGTAACCTACAAAATGCAACCTTCAAAAATGCGCACACAAACTTTATACCAAGAAGGCAGTGTCCCCGCTAGCTACCTAAAAAAAAAGCTTACTAAGCTCACCCCTAGTCTTCGTGAGGCGTAACGGTGGGTATTTATGCATTTACAAACCAGTGGCACGGTAAAGGCGACCAGCAAGCCCACCTCGAAACCACGGAATGCTCCCGAGCCGATGAAAAGGAAGGGGGAAAAAAAAAGGAAGCTCTTACCGCCGTACCTCCACACTAGAAAACAACAAGCAGTGAAACCCCTAATGGAAAACACCGCTGAAACCTACAAGGGAACACTGACTCCAAAC